CATTGATCAGCTGCCTCCTGCATGCCCCCTAGCCCCACAATGGGATTGAGCCCAAAACCTGGGCATATGCCTCCACCAGGAATCAAACTGAAATTGTGAACATTCTACGCTAATACAATACGCAAATTTGTATACATATTAAAAGAAACATTTAGGTAGGAAGTCACTAAAAATGTGTAATGTAAGAAAAATCCTTTCTTTTGTTTTTAAAAGTTCTTACCTCATCAAATCCAGCAGCTTGTAAGTCTTGAAGCATTTGTGGATTAACCTCTAAAGTATTCCGACTTGTTTCATTTGCGAATGGTTGCAGAGAGTTTCGAATTTCCAGCAAGGCTTTATGATGAGTCCCAAATTTGGGTGGATTTCTGACTTGTCGAGGATCTTCAATTGACATTTTACTCATGTTATGTTCAGCCTTTGCAGCATCGGATGGTTTGGATAAATTCCTAAGGGATTCCCGAATTTCTTGCAACATTTGCCGGCTACTGCCAGTATAGTTACTGGCAGGAAAGGTCTTAGGCCTCATTTGTCTATATCCTTCTGGCTTTTCACTTCTCTTCATGAAAACATCTATATGTATAACCCACACAAAGTACTTTAAGGGCCACTTGACAGATTCAGAGCCTTCTCTTGAGCAAAACTGAAAAAGGTCCTTTGCAGAAGTACCCAGGAAAGTTAAAGTTCTTTACAATTTAAATAATTAACCCTATAAAAGAAAAATAAATAAAAGCTATAAAGTGATTTACTGATAAAGCAGTACCCTGAATTGGGGATTGAGGGGGAAGGGAGGACACATTGATTTAGGAGGTAGAGTCCTAGGTTATAGTTCTGCCTCTATTATGAATTACTGCATGATAAGGACAAATTTAATTAACTTCTCCATGCCTATGTCTTAATCTATAAAATTACATAAAGTAGTGGTTATAATGATAAAAAATAATTTTAAGAGTGCTCTAGTGCCGTAGCCAGTTTGGCTCAGGCCAATGTGGCTCAGTTGGTTGGAGTGTCATCCCATACATCTAAAGGTCACAGGTACAATTCCCAGTTCCGGCACATACCTAGGTTTCAAGTTCAATCCCAGTTGGCACATACTAGAGGCCACAGATTGATGTTCCCCCCTGCCTTCTCTCTCTCTCTCTCTCTCTCTCTCCCTTCCTCTTTCTAAAAATCAATAAACATATCCTTGGCCGAGGATTAGTTTATATAAAAAATATAAATCTATTTTCTCCCCACCCAGATGAGTTAATGGATTAAGAGAGGTAAGGTGGCCTCCTCAAGCTGACTGAGGTACGTTCACTGAGGTCGACCCCTTCCAACTCTCCCATCCACACTCGTCTTGTATACTTGTTTCATCTATCTCCTTTCCGAAAACCACTTCTGTGTATGGGCCACGAAGTTCCAATCGCACTGTACATGCGCGCCCGCACGTGGTATATTGTGGAAGAGCCACACTCAAGGGGCCAAAGAACTGCATGTGGCTCGCGAGCCGCAGTTTGCCAACCACTGGCCTAGGGTCATGTAGCCAGTAGAAGATCATACCAGGAATCGACTCCACACATCCTGAACCAACCCAGTGTTGTTCTCATTATACCTACATTTCAAGTTTCCTAAAAGCAGGGATTAAGACTCTCTCATTCTTTGAAGAGGCACATACATTGGTTACAGTGAATAGACAAAACTTTCATTTCTTTAAAAGTTCAAACCTTCATCAATTATGCAAATATCAGTAAATCCAAACAAATATTGTTGATATTTTGTCCAACTGAGAGGAAAAAAAGGTATCATGACCTAAAGAGATTTTGGAGTGTTACCTTGGGTTGAATTAGGTTTATAAAAATTATGGCCTATCTCAATGCTCTGACTAAAATCAGTTATGAAATAGCAACAGTCATATGTACGGTTGCTTTCTTTGCAGCATAGTTCTTAGTTTAGTCAGCAATATTCAAGAATCTCTGCATAATGATGGCATTTCTTTCAATTAGCTTTCTAAGAATTAACTAATCAAAAGTGAAGAGAATCAATATAATTTATCCTCATGATGAAAAATTACTGCCATTTCTACTCAATAAAAAAGTTGTTCAATGACTAAACAACTGTTGTGGTCTACAAAAATCCCCCACTAACATAAATCTAACATTTAGAATGAAAACTAAATAACCAGAGTTGGAACAGTTACAAGGCTATCCTATATAATAAAGAGGTAATATGCAAATTAATCCTCATGCCATAACGCCATCACAAGATGGCAGAGGGTACAGCAGGGGCGGGGCCGGCCGCTCCACGCTCCTGCCGCCGGGGTTCCCTCAGCTCTGCTGGGGGGTAGGTCCCCACTGCTACAGCAGGCAGGCAGGCGAGCGGTTAGGAGCCAGCAGTCCTGGACTGCGAGAGGGATGTCCGACGGCAGTCGGACATCCACCAAGGGGTCCTAGATTGGAGAGGGTGCAGGCTGGGCTGAGGGACCCCCCCCACACACACCATTGCACAAATTTCATGCACCAGGCCTCTAGTCCTATCTAATAAACATGGAATATGCAAATTGACCGTAACTTCACAACAAAGATGGCAGCACCCACAGCCAATAAGGAGGGAATATGCACATTGACGTGACAAGGTGAGAGGTGGAAAGGCTGTTCAGGGCTGGAGTGAAGGCAGTGCCAGCAGCCAGGGGAAGGAAGGCCTATTCTTGCACGAATCTTCGTGCATCAGGCCACTAGTGTTTATATAAAACATCAACGACTATCATTTAAAAAATAAATAAGTAAAAACTTAATCTATAAAAGGAAGTCTAGATAATACAATACCAAGAAAATGTAGCAGTATTTTTTTATTTGCTTTAAGAGATTCTCAAGGCATGTTCAGTAAATACTCAGGCATAGAAAGACTGCACTTTCCCCAGCATGTGCCATGATCTAGTTTCTTGCAGTAGCAGCTGGTCAGAGGAACACAATGCTACTTCTTTTGCTGTTAAATCAAATTCTTCCACTTGCCTTAGGGAATCAACTAGCCCATTTTACCTGTCTGTCAACTTATTAAAGGAAAAGAAATGAACTTAGTTAAATCACAAACGTGGCTATCTTACCAGAGAACATTCATTCTAATTATAATTTCCTCTTCCTGGAGGAAATTTGATTTAAAAAAAATTTAAAACTTCGTAAATAATCCACAAAGTCGACAAAGTTCATGATCTCAGACATTCAACCCATCCCCCAAACTGGAGTGATACCATATCATTTGTGCGTGCAGCTATCCTTCCTTCTCACTCGGTTTATGAATCACTTGCACATGAGGACATCTTTTAAGTCCTATTAACATATGGGCCAACAAACATAAAACTCTGATCCCTTGGAAAATAACTTTCCATTGGAGAAGTCGGAGAACAGCGTTAAGTCACCTGAGAGCCGTTCTTCAACATTCAAGTTCTTCTCGACGTTAAAACAAACCATGTTCCCTTAGTTTTCTTCCCTCCATTCCCCGCATTGTCACCCACTCTCGCTGCATACAGGTCCCTCGTCTCCCGCACTCCCTGTGACTGTGAACAGCACCCGGCACAACCGCGGGCTGTGAACTGAAATTCCCAGGGCTCCTCCCTGGTGCGTCCGGCCCC